GCAGACGCTGCTGACGCTGCTGCGGCGGCGGTTCGGCGGCGGCGCCAGCCCGACCGCCAGCCTCACCAGCCTCAGCAGCGTGGGCAGCCTCGATTTCGGGGACGGCGCGGCTGTGGCGGCGGCAGCGGCGGCGGGAGCGGCCGCGTTCGAGGCCGTCGACGAGCCGGGCAGCGTCGCCGCGCGCACGCTGTACGCGTACGCGCAGCTGGGCCAGCACCCCGGGCGCGCGCTCATCGCTGCGGCGGCGGACGCACTGGGCAGGTGGTGCGACGAGCTCGGCGGGCTGGGCCCCGCCAGCGGCGAGGGCAGGAGCGGGGGCGCGGCGGGCGGCCGGACGGGCGCGGCGGAGCCCCGTGGGACCAGCAGCAGCAGCAGCAGCAGCGCCAGCAGCGGCGGTGCGGCTGCGGACTACGACCTCAGCCCGGACTGGGATTTCTCGGAGGCTCCAGACAGCCCACCGCCGGCGCCCGAGGCGCCAGCGCCCACGCAGCAGCAGCGCCGCGGCTGGCAGCCGCCTGGCGGCCGGGGGCGGAGGCAGGGGCGCCTGCCGCTCAGGGAGCTGAGCACCGCGCTCTACTCCCTGGCGGTGATCGGCGAGCTCCGCCACCCGGGCGCGCTCGCGCTCGCCGCGCGGCTCGCGGCGCTGCCGCCCGCGGCGCTGCTCGGCCACCCCCAATTTGCGCAGCAGGCGCGCATGCTCGCCGCGTGCCTGCTGTCTGCCCAGGCAGACCGGCTGGTGTCCAGCCCCTGGGCCGCGCTCGACGCGTCCGTCAAGGAGCGTCTCGCGGCGGAGTGGCGCCGCTCGGTGCTCGCGCGCGGCGCGGCGCGCCCGCACCGCATGCAGGGCGAGCTTGCCGCCGCGCTGCGCGGCATGGGGCTGCGGGTGCGCGCGGGCGAGGTCACGCGGGACGGCTGCTGCTGCATAGACGTGCTCGCGCGCGCGCCGGGGTCGGCGCCGCTGGACCCATCGGCAGGCGCCGCGGCCGGCGGCGGCGGGGAGTGGCTGGCTGTCGAGATCCTGGGGCCCCACAACGCGGCGCGCAACACGCAGTCGCCGCTGGGCCCGGCGCGGCTCAAGTGGCGGCTGCTGGCGGCGCGCGGGTACAGGGTCGTGGTGGTGGACGGCTGGGAGTGGCTGCGGCTGGGGGGCCCCGAGACGACGGCGAAGCAGCTGTACCTTCAGAACCTGAGGAACCAACTGCTGCGCCAGGGCGCCGCGCAGCAGGACGGCGCGGCAGCCGAGGCGGCAGCGGCGGCAGCGGGGCGCCGGCGGGGCGGCGACGGCGACAGGGAGGGCGGGGAGCGGGCGGCAGTCGCGGCGGTGGCGGGCGGGCGGTCGCAGCAGTTGAACCGGCCGGCGCAGCCGCGGTGACGTTGGTTGGTGTTGCTGTTGCATATTGCTTGCATGGTTGTAGGAATGTTGAAACAGGGATGCATCGCGGTGCATCTCAAGGTTGGCGTACCACAATTGTGACGGCGCGTGGTGCGTGCAGCTGTTGCGCCCCAGTAAGGAGAGTCTGTGGCTGTGCTGCCGGATGGCAGGCCAGCTGAGTGCTTGCGTTCTCTGGTGTAAGAGGATCTGCAAGAATGGGATTTCCAAACGGTGGCTGGCGTGTTCGGCGGCCTTGCGATGTCCAGATACTGTGTTACGGTAGTGATGAGCATAGCAGGGTAATCCGGTCCAACATTGGTCAACCGTGTTACTGTGTGTGCGCGGAGGTAGGCGAGGGTGCCTCTGCGCTAAACGAATGTAACACAGATGACGCACACTACAAATCTTTGGGCACCAATCGCACACTAGCTGTGCTGGACAAGCGTGAGATCGATCGCGAAAGTGTTGCTGGACTCTTGCGTCAATGCTTGCACCATAGCTAACTTCGAGAGATCTGAACATTAAATATAAACTTCACCGTTTAATGCTTACTGTGCAGCACAAAGGCGCTCTACCGTATCCCGTCAGCAAGAATCATGGCCCTCGCACAGCGCACCTCGTTCGCGGCCAAGACTAACCCTTCTCTGAAGGTCAGTTCAGGAATAAGGCGCAATGGGATAAGGCGCGCCGAGATCCTTCGCTGCTAGAGCTCTGACGGGGCACGCGGATCCGCCCGACAACACCTTCTCCCATCGAACGCATACTGTATTGCATCGGCCTCCGAAGAGAATTCGAGGCGGTGATAGTGGCACGCCGGCGATACCCTGCCTCCTGCCCCCAAGAGGACTGCAAGGCACCCCCGCCCGCAACCCACGCGCAACGGCACACCAATAGGCACGCACGCTCCCTGCCGCCGATCCTTGCCATGCCCCCCCCCCCCAGGTGGCGGCCCCTCGCGCCTCGCGCCGCTCTGTTGTCGTGCGCGCTGACGGGTTCGCTGACGGGTTCATCGGCTCCCCCACCAACATCGTGAGCGCCGCGACGTGCCCCGGCGCGGACGGCGAAGCAAGGGGTCGAGCGGGCGCAACCAACCACGGCGCGCAGGGCATGCAACACGCGCCGCCGCCAGCATCCGACCTCAGTTAACGTTTCCGGCAGGAGCTTCTGCTGCACGGTGCCCGCGAACGCCCACGCCCCTCCTCCCACCCAGCTGCTCGCATCACCCCTTTGACCCTGAAATCACTAACCCAGCCCTCAACCCCCCTCTCTCAGATCATGGTGGCCTCCACCGGCCTCACCCTGGCTGCCGGCCGCCTGGGCCTGGCGCCGACCGTAAAGCGGGGCACCACCGCCGGCCTGAAGTTTGTGGAGCGCCCTAACGCCGCCGGCATCATCAGCAACGACCCCGGGGGTGCGCGCCGCTCCCACGCGCTGGCTGCGCGCCGGCCCGCTGCCCCGCTTGGCCCTGCGCCGCGCTGCAAGGAGCCTCGCCCGACGCTGCACTCCAGCTTGCCCCACCCAGACCCAGTCCCCTCGCAACCCCCTCGCCACGCTCGTGCCGGCGGTAGCCAATATCCTGGTCGCGCGCCCCCTCCTGCCGCCTCCACCTGCTCATGTACTCTGCCACCCACCCACCCTCCTCGCCGCCCCCAACCCCAGGCTTCACTATCGTGGACACCCTGGCCCTCGGCGCCCTCGGCCACATCATCGGTGTCGGCCTGGTGCTGGGCCTGCGTGCCAACGGCAAGATCTGAGCGGCGCTTGAAGGGTCAGCCGTTCGAAGCGGCCGCTTGAAGTGCGCCACAACCTGTACATGTACTTGTATGTAGGACCCCCTGTTTGCCAGTCCAGTTTTCAGCCGCCCGCCCCGCTTCGTTGTTGCCCTGCTGCGGCTGCCTCCCATTGAGGTGCGGCGCCTCGTGCGCCCATCGCGCGCGGGCCGCAGCCGCCGCTCGTGCCCTCGCCCGTGCGACACATGCAGTCAGTAGCTCCCTTGATCAGCGTTTGCTGGGTCTCCTTGAACTGCGGGTGTGACGTGCCGGCCGCAAATGCTGCTGCTTGCGAGCAGGGGCGCACAGCTGGGCGCTAGACGATGCCATTCTCCACAGGATCATCTGTTTTGCAGGCATTGTTGACCGTCGACCGCCAGCCTGTGCCAAACGCCTTGCTTATTCGCATGTATTACAAGTCAATAGACAAGTAATTGCCACGCGAGGCTGTGGAGTCCTCAGCGCACACGACACACACACACACACACACACACACACACACACACACACACTACACACACACCAGGGGCGGCACCGGGCAAAGTCAGGTCCAGGCATTGGATCAGATCATCTTTGATAGCCAAAATAGGTGTTGGTACAGTGATGATGGTTGAAGCGCGGCCGCTTGCCGGCCGCGCTACGCAGCAGCAGCGCAGCTCCATGCCGGCAGGGTCCCTGACGTGTGCCCCTATCTAAGTATATTGTCCTCTTGGGCCCATGCACGAGTCCCCCTTTGTGCCTCCAAATGCCAGCCCCAAGCTGAGGGCCGATGGACAGCACCCACAAACAACCGACGCCCAGCGACAAAATCGAGGCCCCGTGGGGCAAAGGCTACGGGCGCGGCGGCAAACAACCGCACGACCGAAGCGAGCTGCCGCCAATGCAACGCAGGCGCACAACGGACGCGTGCAGCGCAGCGCCGTCCCGCCGGGCCGTGCGGCTGAGCCGCACGCTTCGCAACAATCCAAAAGGAAAGGTCAGTGCTGCGTTGGGACCCCAGACTACGCAACCAAGGGGGGCTGGTCCCATCCCAACAGATGCAGGCGGGACGCCGCGCGGCTTGCGGATGGAGACAACGCCGCAGCAAGCGGCCCGCTCGGCGCGCTGGGCTCGGCGCCGAAATCTACCAGAGTAAAGGTCGGCCGCCCGGCGGCGGTTGGCGGCGCGGAAATTGGCCGCGCGACGGTGCATGGTGGTGGCTTCTTCCCTGCCCGCCGGCGGGGGCCTCGCGGTATGAATCTTGGCGCGGGGCCCCCCGCCGCGCGGCGCAGGCGGAATCAAAACCCCCGGGCGGACGGGCGGGCGCGGCGGGCGAATCGGCCGGCGCCCCCCGCGGGCCCTGTTGCTTGGGGAATGCCGTAATGGGCGGCGGGGGCGGCGAATGCGATGTGGAAAATCGGTACGCGCCGAGCAACAAGCAAAGTGTCTATCCGTCCACAACAAGCGTTGCGTGTGGAAATGGAAATTGAAGAGTTGGGGGCAAGGCGGATGCGATCCAGCGCGGCACCGCACAACCCATGCGGCCGCGGCCAACGGGCCGCGTGTGCGGCTGCGCGGTGCCGCATTGAAGTGGGCGCGGCGCGGTGGGCGTGTGCGGCGCAGATCAAGGGACGAGGCAGCTGACGGATCTAAGAACGGCCGGCCCGCAGGCCCTCCCGCAGTCTTGCGCGACTGCAGAAGCAAAGCATGGGCCAGCCACAGCCCCCCCCGGTCATCCAGGACGCAACGCCGTCCCCGGACCCGCCGCGCCTGCTTGCAGCCACGGGCCCGCGAGTCGGCGCGGGCGCCGTGGGCGAGGCGCGGCGCGCATGCGCACAACAGGCGGGGCGGCAGCGCGCGGGGTGAAACGCGCTCTCGATCGCGCCTCTGCTGCACCTTCCGCGGCGCCGGCATGACAACAACGCAACGCGTGTGCTCGATTTGGATCATGCTCAGCTAATTGCTGCCCCCAAGCCCGCAGCAGCTGGGCCGCAGTGGGTATTCGGTGCACGGGGCTGGAGGGGACGGCAGGCACGCATTCATGCGTGCAGGTGCGTGTGCGTGAATCCACTGGAGTGAGTGCTGGCGAAACCGCCAGTGCATCGGGGCCCTCTGTCAATCCTTGGGGCCTCTGTATCTCTCCAAGCTCCCAGCGCGTCGCCGCGGCGACAGCCGGGTACACAAGCGGCGGCGCCTCTCGGCGGAAGGGGCACGGCGCTGGACGCGGGCTCGCCTTGCGGCCCTCGGCAAATGCGACTGTGCGCGCCTCTCGCGCGATGCGACGCGCGTGGCGGGGCGGGGCACTCTATGTGGGGGCCACAGGGCCGACGGCGGGCCCTCGAGCCCGGCGGCGGCTCCAATGCTGGTAGTCTCTAAGCGTGCGGTGCGGCGGATTGGCGCCGGGCCCGGCGCGCGTCGCCCTCCTCACGAAGAATTCGGGAGCCCTCTCTAGAGCCGAGCCGCAGGGCGTTGCGGCAGGGGTGCGCGGGGGGGAAGGGCGCGGCGGGGCGCGCCAGTGCCGAGCGGGAGGGACCCCTCCCTATGAATCTCTCTCGGCAATCCTTTTGGCCTCGGCCTTGGGGCTGGTGCATGATTCGTGCTTGGGCCCCCTGAAGAGGGGCCCTCAGCGCGGCTTGGGCGGCGAGTCCGCGCATTTGGCGCGCCTCGACCGCCCTTGCCTCGACCGCCCTTGCCGCAACGCGTGTGCTACTGTCAGACCCTTGTGCGCTACGCGGCCTGCTGCGTGCTCGCAGACCCCGTGAGCTGCTCAAAGTCGCCGCGGGCCAAGCGGACGCGGCTCCGCTGGCAGCGTGCTTCTTGAACCCTTGTTCCTCCTCGTCGCTGCACCGCGGGCGGTCGCATGCGCACGCGCGCGTGCGTTGGGGGTCGGTCGGGCGAGTCTCTCTAGAGGGATGAGTCATCCCCCAGCACCTCGGCGAACCAGATGTGGCTGCAGGCCGCGGCCGCGCTGATGCGTTGGCCTGGGTCCTTATCGAGCATCTTGCAGATGAGGTCCTTGACGCGCGGGGAGTAGCCCGCCCAGGGGTCGCGCGTGAACATGGGGCTGCCGCGCACGATGCCGTCGCGCAGCCTGCGGGTGACGGGTGTCGCGGGGCGGGGAGGGGGTGAGCGATCGAGCCCAGGGTCGGCAGCCGGATCGGGATTTCGAGGAACAGGCGAGGGTCCGTACGGTTGTGGGGCCGTACGGCGAGGGCGGCGGCGCCACTGAGCGCGGGGCGGATGCGTTTGTGACGGCAATTTCGGGCCGGGGGCTGGCGGCGGCGGCTGCTGCGGCGGCGGCGCTCACTCTGACTGCGTCATGCCGTGGAATTGGTCGGCGCGGCCGACCCAGAAGGGGAACCCGCCGCTGAGGAGGTGGTAGAGCATCACCCCCGCGGCCCTGGGGGGGACGCGGTGGCGCACGGGGGAGCGAGGGGAGGGGGATGGGGCCGAGCCGGTCTTGAAAGGAGAGTACGGCAGCGGTCTGGCGCAAACAGGCTGAGAAGGCGGCGTTGCGGAAAGCCGCAAGTTCAGGGCTAGCCGGCTGCCAAGCGTGCGAGGGCAGCTGCGAGAGGTAGGGGCGCAGAGCCGCAGATCTATGCACAGCCGGCATCCCGGGCAGCGGGAGGAAACCAAGAGCAAGGACGCGGGGTGCTTGGCACGAGCTATGATAACGCACCAGACGTCTGCGGGCACGCCGAAGCACTCATTGAAGGCCTCTGGCGAGAGGTAGGCCGGGGTCCCGCTGACGGGCTGCAGGGGGACGTGGGGTGGGGGCGGCGGCGGCGTGTTGTAAGTGGCGGG